AGAGTGTAAATGATTTAAGTATAGATTAAAACTATAAGATTTTGGATCAAATTGATTAGAGAAAGAAAAAGTTGTGATTTTAGAAAGAAGAAGTTGTGATTTTGGGAAAGGGCTCATTAGGGCAATGTTATATAGGAGGGTATTTTTATCTTTTTAAATTTTATGTTCACTTGGTATGTGAAGTGTAATTCCTAATACTATAAAGAGAATGAAATTGTGTAAACCTTTGAAAATGTCTTTTTCCTATTTATTATTACCAAAACCTAAATTCACACTCATGAAGCATTATTTGTTGAAGCAATACTATCTTTTTCTTTTTTTAATTTTTTAAATATTAAGTTATTTAAAAATTAAATTTTATAATTTTTTTAATTTGTTTTATATGAGATTATCTTAATTATATAAATTTATTTTTTTCTTGATTTCAACTTTTAATATTGAATCTGGTAAAATTAGATTATATAATTTTTTTATAGAGTTATCTTAGTTTCAAGATCCAAATAAAGGGTTTAACAAGTTTACTCAAATTAAATTGGATTGAGTCATTTTTTATTTTTTATTTAATTATATTTTTTAATATTGAACTAATTGAAAATAAAATTATATAATTTTTTTATATATTTTTTATAAATTTATTTCAGTCTCATGATCTAAAGCACAAATTTAAAAGGTTAATCCACCTTGAGTTTTTATTTTTATTTTTTTAATTTTATTATTAACATTAAATTAATCAAAAATTAAACTTTATAATTAAATTTTATAACTTAAATAGATTACAAATCTAACATACTAACCCACCCAGTCATCTAATATATCATTTTTTTTTTTAAATAGACATTCTATTTTAATATTTTAAGTCAACTAACACCTGAACAATTTTTTTAAACACAAACTAATGATCTAATCTCATCTATTAGCCGTTGGATACAGCAACTCAATTTCAAATAAAAAATTGATATCCATCAAATTCTAGTGAAATTGTCATCCTTGCCAAACTCAAAAAATAAGGAAACAGCAGCAGCTCAACGGACGCAATGCATCAAGTTCGCGTGTGCCGTACAATGACTTCGCATTTTTATGATGTAATCAGGATCACGTAATGGTTCTCTTTCCTCTAGCTGTTTTGGTAACCAAGAAAATATAGCAGACAGAGAATTAAAGAGAATAAAGAGAATCGTATCATTCTTTTCTTGCCGTACGAGTTCATAGGAGATGACGGACGTATGTTGATCCAGTCACTTGTGTTAGCACAGCCATTACAGGACACGTTGAGAATAAAAATAAAAAATACAAAACGACTACACTTCAAAGTAAACCAACACCCTCAGCTGCAACAGAAAACTGAAATGAAGGCGGGGAGAATATGCACAAGCCAAAAACCTAGAGATAAAGAAGAGGGTGCAAAGTACAGAAGCACAGCATGCAAACAGAACTTCAAAATATCAAGTCCAACGTCAAATCCCTTCATGCTGTTATAATGAAGGGAGGACCAACCAATGTGAGATTAAACCGTCCCATGTCTCAGAACATCAAATTTAACGACTCTAAATAGCAAAGAAAGGAAAACAATTCGTTAAAATAGTACTAGGAAAATAAGAAACCCTTTTCACCAAAAAACTCATCACAGGAGATCAGCCACATTAGATGGCAGCTCCTCGATGATCACATTATAGAACTTCTGAATATCAAACAGCATTCTGTCATCATCCCTTGTCACAAAGTTAATAGCAACACCCTTTCTTCCAAAACGTCCACTTCGTCCAATACGGTGAAGGTAGTTTTCTGGTTGAGTCGGCAGATCATAATTTATGACAAGGGACACTTGCTGCACATCAATACCACGGGCCAGGAGATCAGTTGTAATGAGAACTCGAGAAGAGCCAGACCGGAATTCTCGCATAATGATATCACGAGTGTTCTGGTCCATATCTCCATGAGTAGCTGAGACTGTGTGGTCACGGCTTCGCATCTTGTCTGTCAGCCAGTCAACCTTGCGGCGGGTGTTAACAAAAATAACACTCTGAGTGATAGCTAGGGTCTCGTATAGATCACAGAGAGTTTCAAGCTTCCACTCCTCCTTATCAACATTGACATGAAACTGTTTGATACCTTCAAGGGTAAGCTCATCACGCTTAACCAAGATCCTCACAGGCTTGTTCATGAACTTCCTTGTGATCTCAAGAGCTTCAGGCGGCATTGTGGCAGAGAACACACCAACTTGAACTTTAGATGGCAGCAACTGGAAAATATCGTAGATCTGACAGCAAGTGGAAAAACAGTATTAGAACAACAAATTATTTATAAAAAAACCACTAAGAGCTCTCAAGTCTAAGAAATAAACTTGGGATCAAGTATGAAGGCAAACCTGATCCTTAAAACCACGGGACAGCATTTCATCAGCCTCATCCAAGACAAACATTTTAATGTAATCTGGACGAAGTGACTGCCTTCTTAACATATCAAACACACGACCAGGAGTGCCAACAACAACATGAACTCCAGCTTGAAGAATGCGTTGGTCCTCACGAACACTTGTGCCGCCAACACAAGCATGCACTTTGACGCCAAGATAATCACCAAGTGCCCGCATAACCTTTTCAATCTGCTGCGCAAGTTCCCTAGTGGGCGCAAGGACCAAAGCTTGACATTGCACTAGACCATAATCAAGTTGCTGGAGAATACCAGAGCAGAAGGTTGCAGTTTTCCCAGTTCCTGACTGAGCCTGCTGAATCACATCAAGGCCCTTGCAGAATGGAACAATTCCTCTCTGCTGGATTGCAGATGGCTTCTCAAAACCTTGAAAAATAAATTAAGATGCATCAATCAGAACAAGAAAAAGATGGAACTACCAGAATTTATGCATCATAGTACAAGAAGAGAAGATGTTTTTTTTTCCAACAATCAAAACTGTAATCATAGGTCAAAAATCAAGTTCCAGCAGATATATATTTTTAATTTTATCAATAATGGAGAGATAAAGAGTCAGTTAATAACAGAATGCATAAGAAAAGAACCTAAAGGATAGGTTTGCAACTGCAACCAGGGAAGTTATATATGTCTTGGCATCAACTCATTAAGATGCTGAATGAAAGTACATCTGCAGTTATAAAGCTACCTACCATAGGCATAGATGCCCCTCAAAAGGTTCTCTTGCAATCCCATTGAATCAAAAGTGTCATAAACCTCATCATATGAGGTGAAGAAATCTTGTCCATCATTTGCGAGCCTGCATTGTTTTCAAAGCATAAATGAATGTCAATTACATTTTCCAATCAAGAGCTGTTGCTGTACAGCTAGAGTTGCAAGGAAAAAACTTACAAATCATTCATTTTGGCATCATATTGCTTAGAATCAAACTGTGACCCTTCTGGTGCCAAACCCGCCATGACTGCATTAAGGAAATATATGCAGAGGGAAGATTTATTACTCTAATTGATTAAGGTTCATAGCATTCATGTTTCAAAACTGGACAGGTAAAACATATGCTGCTTTCAGCATCTATCATATGCTCCAATAATTGACAAATGAGAAAAAAGTAAAACATAGAATGCGTTCAAGCTATCAAATAAATCTATTTGTTGGGGGGTGGGGGTAAGCATAAAAATAAAGCAGAAATTTTCATTACCATAAGCACAAAAGAAAGTGAATATTTCATTATAGCCAACCGAAATGAAAGAATAAAATGTCACAGAAGAGCCAAACTTGCAAACCAAGCTAAGAGTGAAGTACAAGCATTAAACTTCTGTTTCAGTGTCTGGAGAAGATACAAAAGGGGCAAACAGAAAACTGATATTTCGGACATAAATCCTTAACCATCAGACGCTGCTTCACCCACCCCTCCAAAAATTCAGAAAGAGGCAAGAACTAGTCCAGAAAGACTTCAACTTTTGTTGCTCTTTTAAGACATCATCCTCATAAATCATATGTGTTATTACAGCAGTGTGGGACTTGCGCAACAAGTTACATATCCATCAAATTAAATTAAATTAAAGCGTTCTGACAAAATAAGCAGCACTAATATGACATAAGCAGCATCAAAAGATTGTCAAACAATCTCATAAAAAGATCTTTTTGTGTTGAACTGATCTCCAACCAGACCAAGTTGAAAGGAAAAAACAACTGCAATTTTCAGAACCTAACCCTAACAGCTCATAAAAAAACGATAAGGAAAACAAAAAAAATGAAAAATTTACCAACAAAAGGAAAAAACCGATCAACCCTAGATCTCAATAAGTAAAACCAGATAGCCCAGCTATAAAAAACATTCAAGAAATCAACCAATCCAGAGATCCATGACAGCAAGCAATAACAGCATCATAGGCGCACGCACACAACAAAAGCAACTACGTTTTTGCATAGAGAGTGCGAGAGAGAGAGAGAGAGAGAGAGAGAGAGAGAGACCTGGGACTGAGGGAGTGATTGATAGCAAGAAAGAACAGGAGAGAGATTGAGAGGAAGCTGAAGATAAAATAGAGAAATCAATAAAAACCCAAACTCCTCGGATCTGCGCCGTGGAGTTTGAGAGAGGCTGTGTTTAAGTGTTTATGATTATTTATAGGTAGGTAAGACGGTGCGCTGAATTAGGTTAAAGGTTATACTTCTTCTCCAATCCCTGGTGCTTCAATTTTTTATTTTCTTTCCTATTTTACCCTTACCGTTTTATTTTCATATTTTGTTTATTTTGTTTTTATTTTTGCCAAAAAAATTATACCGAAAGAGGTTGATGATGTTGTACTTGTCGCACAAGATGGGACCTCATGAATATATTGGAGCGAGACGTTAGAGTATCTCTTTTTTGAATAAGCTTAAGAAAGCATTTCTAAATTTAATAAATTATGTTAAATATTGGCCTTAAACTTTGAATTTGTGAAGTCCATAAATTGAATATACAATATACCTCCCTTTAACTATCAAGTCAAACTTAATATACTAATATATAAAGCTACCATCAAACTAGATTTAGAATATTGATATATACCAAGCTAATTTAAGGTAAATATATTAGTTTTTATATAATGTGAATTCAAATATAAAATTTATGTAAATGATTTTTTTTAATTAAAGAGCAATTTAAAACTTATCTTTATTTATCTTTTCGTTACAATATAGTAGAATTTTAATTAAAATTATTAATTTTATTTTATTTCATTAAGAATAACTAATATATTTCGTTTTAGTTAAAAAGGCAAGACAAACTAAAAAATGAAATATTTCATTTAGAATCCCAACTCATTTCAAAAATTTTACTTAAGTTCTAGATAGAATGTTCTGGTATCATTCTAATTATTTTCTAAATAATTTTTAAAAAAAATATATGATTTTTTTAATAATTAATTTTTTAATTTTATTATTCAATATCTTTAATATTTAATTGATTATAAATTAAGTTTTATTATTTATTTTGGTTTATTTTCTATAAAACTATTTTAATTTCATGAATTAAAAAATTAAAACATCAATGGGAAGAAAAGTAATAACCTTTATTTTTATTTTTTTTAAATTAACGTGGGTGTCCGGGCCAGCTTGCACGCACCACGACTAATCCCACGGGCCCTGAAGTTAACGACCATGTAAGCCTTCAATGACCATCATATGAGCAACCAAGGACTCGAACCTGAGATTATAGAGGGAGCAAACCCCTTGATCCCAAGACCTTGCCACTTGGCCACCACCTAGATGGTTAACAGTGTTTTAGCAAACCTTTATTTTTTTTATTAGTATGAGTTAGCAGTGTTTTAATGAAATTTAAAATCCTCCTACTACATCCAAGGATGCTGGCATTTCTGTCAAAACTAGAATACGAATACATGTTCCTATCAATGTTATTAAATTTGAACAATTCATATTGTAACCATCACATCAATTAATAAGTTAATTTAAAAAAAATAAAAACAAAATGGGAGAGCTTACACGAGGGCTTGAACGAGATGGATGGGAGAGCTCAAGAAAGAGAAAAGGGAGAATCGTATCATTCTTTTATTGCCTTGCTAATTCATAGGAGACGACAGGCAGATGTCGGTCTAGTCACTTAGTTTGTTGTGTCTTTACTTAAGTTTCTAAGGAAAGATTCTTTTGCTTCCAATTCAGGAAATTGATAGTTAGGAATAACTAGAAATTACTAAAAAAAGGCTTAGAAGGCCAAAATATAGTAAGCACTTGTGTTGTAGTGTTTTTTTTTTGAGTTTGATGTTAAAAATATTTCAAGTTTAGCTCATATTCGAAGAAGTTTTATAATATTTAGAAAGTAATTAATGATATTTTATTGATTATTTTTTAAATATATTTTAAAAAATTGATAAAAAATTATGTAAAAATATTTGTATTATTTTCTGTGAGTCATGATTTTTATTCACTCTCTTCTTTTATTTATTTTTTTATTCAATATAAACTTAAAGAATAACTAATAGGATGTTATTAGTTATGCGTTGTTTTTAAAACATACTTAAACATTTTAAAACAAGTATTTAATGGATTTTAAACTAATAAATGACTTCAAAGAATGCTTAAAATTCATCTCAAGCAGTAATTTAAAAAATAAAATAAAAAAGGATGTGTGATTATTGAGCTCCACCCTCTTATCAAAATTTAAAAGTTTATCTTGTAAAAGGAATATGGTTTTATCTTCTTGATTTGTTGCTTCTTTCTTCTTAAATTTTAGCTTCTTTTTTATCTAGATTCCACCCTTTCTTTTTTAACAAATCATTCTTTATAACTTTCCCTTCAATTTAATTCTAAATATCCTGTTACTATTAAAGTTTATCTTATAAAGAGAACTTGGTTTTCTCCTCTAGATTCTTTGCTTCTTTTTTCTTGAGTTTAAGCTTTTTTCTAATTTAGATTCCACCCTTTCTTTCTCAGCAAATCAATCTTTATAACTTTCTCTTTAATTTTATAATAAGTATCCTATTAATTTATATGTATTTCTTTTCTTTTTTCTCTGTGATTTCTCTTTGATCCCCCTTTTCTATATATGATTTCTCCTCCTTTTATAGCCCTAAAATGACAAGTGGTCGTGGAAACCACTTTGTAGGTTTGAAAGTGGTTTTTCAAAACTAGATTATAGGGGATTACTTCCTCTGATATATAACCCTAAAATGGCAAGTGGTCGTGGAAACCACTTTGTAGGTTTGAAAGTGGTTTTTCAAAACTAGATTATAGGGGATTACTTCCTCTGATATATAACCCTAAAATGGCAAGTGGTCGTGGAAACCACTTTGTAGGTTTGAAAGTGGTTTTTCAAAACTAGATTATGGGAGATTACTTCCTCTGACATATGAGAAGGTCATTATTCATTCTCCTCTCTTTTTTATTTTTTTTTCTTTTTTTCCCTTGAATGATTAACAAACTCTTAAAACTTTTATAAGAGGTTGGGAACCTCATAGCTGAAACATGGTTAATTGGAGGTGCACCTTCCATGATTAATCATGGCAAATAGAAGGTCATTGAAGCCAACTAAAATATAGATCTTGTAAAGAGGATGTATATCTAACATGGGGATCAAATCTCTTCTAATTTGGATGTCTAGAACTCCACATTCATTGAGTGGAAGGTGAGCCCTTGATTAACTTGAAACTACTAAATGTAGGGGAGGTTGATCATAGATATAATGTTATTAAGTTTATTTAGTCAAATAAGGCAAAAATATGTGATAAGGATAGCTAATTCTTATAGAGAAGATGTATCTCAATCGAGTAGTGGTGGTTAGAACCTTTGAAGTGATTGAAGATGCCATGTTCATTCGTTTGAAGGTGACAACTCGATTAGCCTTCTCAACTCAAGAAGACAATAAAATAAGGATAAATAGCATGTTATTCGATTTTTTGATTAAAAGCAAGTGACACGTTATCTACTTAAACCTTAAAAATCAAGGTTTTCTAATTAGGAATTTGATAAGTTTCAATTTGGTCCATGTTTTTTCAAATTAAGCTCAAATGTCCTTAACTGGAACAAAACTGATTAGTACTTAAAAGTGCATTTTTATCAAGGTTTTATATCATAATTTTGCACTTGAAGTATTAATAACTCCTTAGCTAAAGCATGTTTTATAATAACATATCTAATAATATAAGATATCTTTAATTTATGATAAATATTTATTTTAAATGCAGACCTATCACATAAATCAAGGGATTAATTGATGAGTTTAACTACTAAAATTGAGAAGACAAAGAGATGTTGATTCAATCTAAACTGAAACACCATTCGGTTGTTAGATCATAACTGATTAGTACTTAAAAGTGTATTTTTATCAAGGTTTTATATATTTAATTCTTAATACTTTACTTGTTAAATTATTAATCTAGATTTATGTTGTATAACTCTTGGTACAACAAATACTTGGTATTTTCATAGTCCAACCGTATGGTATAACCGATCTCCATGCTATGAAAAGAATTTGATTTGTTGTTAACATAAGTTATAATCATGAATACCTGACAACATTTATAAATATTATCATTATTCAAATAAGATAAGCAATGTAATCATGTTAACAATTTATAATATGATTGGAACCTCCTTTGTGTGTGGTTTCTAGTTGAGTAATAAAAAGAGTTTATATTATACTTATTTGAAATACCATTAGTGGATCCTTTAACCCTGATAATTATTTTATCCTTATTTAATCATTATTTATTACATCTCAAAGTCTTCTTCAACTCATTATCATCATTATTATTATTTATAATTTATATAGTTAATCTCCCTATGGTTCGACTAGCATCTCTTTTCTAAGATTGACCTTGGTCTTCTCAATTTTAGCAGTTGAACTTATCAATTAATTCTTTGATTTATGTGATAGACCTGCATTTAAGATGAATATTTACTATAAATTAAAGGTAGACTTGCATTTAAGATGAACATTTACTATAAATTAAAGGTATCTTATAGTATCATACTTGTTATTATAAAACATGTTTTAGTTAAGGAGTTATTGATACTTCATGTGCAAAATGCTGATATAAAACTTTGATAAAAATGCACCTTTAAATATTAATCACCTAACATTGTATGAAATCAAATTAACATACATTAGCTTAAATTGCATCAAATTGATTAAGTGGAAGTGTTCAATATAGCTTTAATATAGAATATGGGTGGTTGATTAGTACTTAAAAGTGCATTTTTATCATGGTTTTATATCATCATTTTGCACTTGAAGTATCAATAACTCCTTAACCAAAGCATGTTTTATAATAATATATCTAATAATATAAGATACCTTTAATTTGTGGTAAATGTCTATTTTTAATGCAGGCCTATCACATAAATGAAAGGATTGATTGATGACTTGAAGAACTTAAATTGCAAGGATAAAGAGATGACCAAACTTAGAAAAGAGATGTCGGTGCAATCCAAACCGGAACACTGTTCGGTAATTGGGTCATATCTAGAGCTATATATCTCAGATTTAGGTCCAATTTATATGGATGGAAAGGTAAGACATAGGCCTACAACTTTCATATGGAGCCCAAGATCTAAAAAGGCCATTATCAAGTCCAAATTGTAGCAACAACAAAGAAGCCCGAATCTGTCTTCCAGCCCGAGCACTGTTCGGT